AAAAATTAAGTATTACTTGATCGATCTATTACATTGTCTTTTGATGTGGCAGCTCTCTGTCTGAATATTGGTATTTTAGAATCAAATTTTCGGGGTAACAGAAAAGGAGAAAGTGCTGATTGGCTAGCTATAATGTAAATAACTATATAGTTACATTATTTATGCAAAGTTGTTTTCATTGAAATTTTACTAAATTTTCCTAAATTTGATTTAAAAAAGTTTATCCTTAAAAGGATAAAGGATTAAATATGTTCATAAGTCGTTAAAGTTAGTAGGTCTAAATCTGAAGATTATTTAAAAGTGAAGGTGGTCTATATCAAAGATATAAATTTAGACATCTTACTTGATTAATCCATTTTATTTTCTTTTGGTATAGTCACCATGCTTGATTTGAATGAAGGTATCTTAGAATAACAGCTTGAAAGACCAGGTGACTGTGGAATTGGTGATAGTTTAGCTACAATGTAAATCTCAGGGTATACTTTTGAGATATAACCATTACAATTATTATTAGTATTCAAAGATATAAAGTACAACAACTTACTTGCATGATCACTTTTATATCCTTGTGGTACCACATCCACAACCTTTTTATATAGTGAAATATTTGATGGTAACATTTTGCCTAATTTAGCAGGTGGCTGTGGAAATGTATATAGTTTTACTATTTTAAAAATAAAATACAATTACAGCAAGTGTAAAAAATTATTTTTAATAACTGTTTTATTACAAAATACATACACATAACACTATTATTACTATTATTATGTAGGCTATTATTAGCTTCTGCTCTACTCTTCATAAAATTACTAATTAATGAACTTGTTTCTTCACGCAGCAGCCTTGTTCGTCAAGGTTTGTGTTTCAGAGTTATGAAGTTGAGAGAGGGTTGAAACTACAAGTAGCCTCTTCGATTGTAGTGGTCATCTCAGCCTTTAGGGAGGTGAATTAACATAAAAAATATATATTCTTACTTTCTGTATTAATATCAACATCAACTTCTTCCTCGCCTGAAAAAAACAAAGTGTTTTACTAGAGCTGTATTAAAGTAGTGGTATTATATCCGAATAATTAGTTTCAATTTTGATTAAAATAATGCAAAATTATAGATTGATAATAAGTTTTAAATATTATATTTTATATATTATTTGTCAGTTTTTGTATATTTCACATATGTTATTATTTTCAGTTTATATATTCTATTTACTATTTATATGAGTATTAACAAATTAAAGTAAAACCTTCAAAAAAACTTGTACAAGCAGTACGCTTGCGCTTTTTTGAAACTTGCTGATTATCTTCTTCAGTTTCTGTAGTTAAATCATAATTATTACAATCCTCGTAGCAATCTGTAAAAGAAATAAGAAAAGATTTAATTTATCCAAAGAAGTTATTGACAAATAAATTCTTTTAACAAGTAATGACTAAATTCTTTAACATTTTGCGAATGTAAATTATAAAGCTGTTGTCAAAAATTAAACACAAAACCTGAAGTAATTTTTATTTTTATTAGTTTAAAAAGTCGCCAATTTTCATTAGGTTCTACTCCTTTCATTAATTTAAACGCATTCATTTTGGATGGGGGCCACATAACTACTTTTCCCCGCACCCATGCAGATGGCAAGACTCCTTCTTCCTCACGATTTTCTTCCAACCAAACAGCCCGGTGATATGACATTTTACTAAAATGTTAATACTCTTTTTATTGTAGGTACATCAACACATAACATAAACTTGTAACTAAACTTGTTTAAAAGTGTTTAATATAAGTTTAGTCGTTTACAAATACATAAATATTATTTTACTAATACATATAAATAGTAGTTTAATTATTGTTATTATCACTTGTTTCAGCTAAACAAGACACCAATAGAAGTTATTATCAGAGGAGATGGTTATGAAAATTTTTATATTAATTACTCTTTAAAATTTTAAGATTAATTCTAAAATTATTTAGATTTACATTAAAAGTAAACAAAATCGAAACAAAAATTAAAAAAAAATTAAAAAGTTAAAACATAGGAAAATAAAATCACAACTTAATATACTTAAAATAAATTTACAATAACTTACACCAAATGAAAATATTAATAAAAAAAGAAGCTATAATAAATCTTTGATTAACTACGAAGGCTAAAAAATATATAGCTTTTTTCACTCATAGTGCTAACCTAGTATACTATGAAATATCTTCCTTAAACTAAAAATCACATTAGGCATATTAGCATATTTAAACATATTAAACATATAGACATGAAAACATATTTAAAACTATATTAGAGGGAGATAAATATAAAAAGAAATGTTTTTGAATATGTATTTATCAACTTTAATTTAACTCAAGACTAAAATTATTTCAATTGTTCGATGGATAATTTTCTGTTGCCTTTGATTAAGTTAACCATAATAGTATTATTAGTAAAATAATTTAGCACACTTTTGAATGAAGAAGAGGCATTAACACAAAGCCACCATTACAGGGAAACTTCATAGCCTTTTTCTCGATTTCTGCAAATTTCACATTCTTCGATTTAGAATGCTTATAAGTATTGTTCACATAATAAATGTCTAAAAGGTCAGATGAGCATGGCTCAATAAAAAATGGATGCAAATTAGCAAAACTGAACACATAACACATATATGAATCTTTTAAAACCTCATATACCTCCACAAATTGTCCATTTTTTAGTTGTGCAAATGAATCTCTATATGTTGTTGACAATTTAAAGACCAGTGTTGTTGCATTTGTAATTTCAGAGTATTTATGGGCATTTTCATATTCTTGAATTCTTTTTGCTACTTGTACAGCAGGATTTGAAGAGCCTCTTACATATCTTTTTAATGTTTGCAAATAATTTTCAAAAGGAAAAGCACTGATCTCATCAAGTGGTAAATCAAAAAACTCTACATCATCTCCTATATGCAGCAAATGATGAATATTGAATACAACAAAATCATTACCAAATAATTTTTGAGAATTCTCAACAAAATGTCTAAGCAAATCTTTTGCATAGTTCAACATGTTATTTCTTTTGTCATTTGATGGTGTGAGTAGAATTGATGCACCAACAGAAAGTGTTAAAAAATGTTTGTAAAGCTCAGAATTCAAAATTCCCTTTAAGACAATAGGTCCTGTGTATAATAAGAATTGCCGGAATTCAGTGGCCTTCCATCTATAAAGGTCCAACAAAGATCTAGGGCGTCTAACAAACTCACTTAGTATGCATTTTCGTAAATCCAAAAGGTTTTCAGAAACTTGCAATATGTTGTTTTTGCTTAATTTCACTTTTCTATTACCTTTTTTCAATGTTTGAAGTATACGACGTACAACACCTAAGCATATCAAATGCATATAGTCAAGTGAAATAATGCTGATACATTGGTCTGTTATTTCATTGAAAGGCGAAGCTCCGTGTTGATGACTTCTAAGGAATTCAAGATTTTTAAAACTGTCATCTGTACGCCTTCCAGCATTGAAGCAATCAGAAGAAACAAACGTTGTTCGCCTGTTAGTTGATGTACCAACAGCAAGACAGCGTTCACATGCATGCAGGCTATTGTGACCAACAATATTTTTCAGAAAAAATCGTGCTGGAGCATCACAAATAACTGAGTGCAAAATAACTGTATAATTTTTACCATTATGAGTGACACCATTACATTTTAAAAATTTATATTCATCGATAAAATCCTTTAAGAATTCTTTAACACAGTTTGGCTTACTATCTCCTTGATATAAGGCAACACTTGTGGGTGAACTATGATTAACAGCAGAAAGAATCGGCCAAAATTGTCTTTTCGATTATCTAAACAATGATATACCGTCAACATTTATTTGCAGATTGAGTATATTGCTGAAAGTGCCTTGATTTATTGAATTCTGTAAACATTTGGTAAGGCCAAAATAAATGTATTTTCCACCACATTTTTCCTGAACTTGTATAGCTTGAGGTGTTTGTAAAAGAGTACGGCTATCTTTAGGCAGCTCGCACCCATGTTTTCTCTACAAGGCTAGCAAACCATTACATGATAAACATGTGAGTTTTGCATTAACAATCCATTGAGCTAGATCGTATTGAAAAGATCTATTGCCAACAACTTCTATATCACAATAATGTTCATCGTCTGAGCTGCTATTAGGTGGTACTATGTCGATGTCAATATCATCTATATCACAATTTTCTTCATCGGAACTACTGTAAGGTGGTACTATGTCAATGTCAAGTCTATAGGTATCACTATTAAATAAATTATCAGTTTTAATAGGTATCACTATTAAATAAATTATCAGTTTCTCCTGTGTTATCAAGAATTTGATAACACAGGAGGTTCACATTCAAAGCAATTATTTGCATCTTTAACAACTTTTCTAAATTTTCGCATATACTCTGCTTTTGCACTCATACGAATGATCTAAAAAATCAATTAAATAAAATATTAGGTAATGTTATTTTTTATTTACAAACTTTTTTTTTTATATATAATTTATATGAATATTATTATAGATAAGATAATAAGAGTTTAAGATATTATAACTAAATAATAAACTTAATAACAACGTATAATTAGATTATTTGTAACAATAATAATAATTATTATTATTAATATTTTATTAATCACCCTCTGTAAAATAAATTTACAAGATAAAAACACAAACTAAGAAATAGAGATAAAAAAAAGTATTTATTAGGAATGTTTTCTTCAAGTGTCTTTTCAAAAATTGTTCGCTGTTCTTTTACATTCCAACATTGAACCGCGTGTACCAAAATATGAAGAGTAGCTTCAGGAATTACTTCCTCTAAGACTTTAAGTTTTACTTTTTTCTTAACCCGCATTAAGGTGTTCATATTCAGTTTATGATTATCACATAATTCTTTTATATCATCTAAAAAAGAAAATTTAGCTAAACAGTAGTTAAGTTGGGAGTTACTGATTTCAAAGGTTACTTTATTGTTTAAAAGACGGATAAATAGATTTTTTTTTTTAATGTATATAACTTGACATCTCCTTAATTTTAAATAGAGAGTGTATATAGTTAATTTTAAGTAGAGAGTGTATATAGTATAGAGAGTGTATATAGTACTATAAATAGAGAGTGTATATACTTGGAGACATTAAAAATTGATTTAACTGCGTTCCTTCCAAATGAGTAGAGTCTTTTCATTGTTGCATCTTTATTTTCACAGATTTATTATTATTATTATTATGGAGATTATTATTATGAAGATTAAGATTAAATAATTACGCTAATAAAGTAAATAAATCAAATTAGAAACAAAAACAGTAGTTTAAAAAATGTAAAAGGTAAAAACTATTTTTTTAATGAGTTATAAAATTATTTTTTTTATACACAAGTTAAAGATAAGGAAATCAAACATATTGACAACAGAGTTTGTCAAGGTTTGTGTTTCTGTGTTAAAGAGTTTCACTGCTGCCTAAATTTTTTCTCAGAATAGGCCCTGTATATATATATATATATATATATATATATATATATATATATATATATATATATATATATATATATATATATATACAAACAATATATATATACAATATATATATTTAGACATGCTTGTTTGTATATATATATACAAACAATATATATATACAATATATATATTTAGACATGCTTGTTTGTATATATATATACAAACAAGCATGTCTAAAGGTCATTATCAAAAAGTTAATCCTCCTAAAACATCCGTTAACTCAATTTTTGTTTACTCAAACTTCTTTTAAGTTTTCTAAACTACTATCTACATAATTTAATATTCATATGAAATTCAAATTTTTAAACAATAATGAAAGATCCAAAATGTCCGTTTCATTCAGTGCAAAATCGAAGTAACGGAAACCGGTGTCACGTTAAATAAGTAGATCGTTAAATAAGTAGACAAAATGATATTTTGCGCATGCGTTAGTTTACGGATACTTATTTAACGTAGTAAGTCACGTTAAATAAGTAGATCGTTAAATAAGTAGACAAATTGAACAATCAAGGCATTATATGTTAACCCAGACGAATAAATTAAAAAAAAAACATACGTTAACCGAACTTTAGTTCGGGTAACGTATGTTTTTTTTTTAATTTATTCGTATATATTAGCAAAAGTTTTATTTTTCCTAGGTCACTCACTGGATAAGTGTACTAAAGCAGACATACTTTAATGATATCAACAATTTTCTAGTAGCTGATAAGAAATGAAATAGTTATTTCATCACACGTGCAAATTTACTGCACTCTTTGGTTATTGAACAACTTGCGCATTTTAGTAAAATTAAGCAAACTATCAGAGTGCAACCCGTAATACGGGTTATGGTCGGTTTGTTACAGAATAAATTGTGAATTTATAGCGAGTGTGCCAACTTTGTGTTCAATTTACCTGACATTTTACACGACCCTCGAGCTGTTTTCCACATTTTATTTTAAAGTTGAGAAACCTTAACTTCAGAAATAATTGATCTATACCTTTTTAGAAAAACGCCTTTAAATTGAGGCTATAAAATAATTTATCAATTAATATCTATCATTATTTGAATAATTTACAACTGACTTAGGTCATGTTAGTTTGAGGCAGAACCATATTCCTCGACATTCCCAAAGTTCAACACAATAAGTTTTTAGTTACTGACACAAATTAATTAAATTATTAAAAAAATTAAACTCTTCATCATGGTTTAAATTGACGAAAATATAAAGTAACTTCTTGTAATATTTTTTATAATAACATGAACTTTAATAAAGATTATGTGTTAATTTCTGTAATGCAAGAGCTATTAGTTTTATTAGTTTATTATAAATAACTAAGCAATTGATGACAAAAACGTTTTAAACAAAAATTTTTAATTTACAATCAAACATGCTATCACAAATAAGGAAAAATATGTAAACTTTGATCTTTCATATTGCATCAATGCGTTATATGACAAACCTAAAATAAAAATTGTAACAGGTAATTAGATATAAAAGAAAAGAAAAAAAAAACTAGAAAACAATTTACCTGCTTTTGGTAACCTGTTGTGATACTGCAGTTGCTGTCGTGATGCAGCAGTTCTTGTCAGTGTTGTTTAATGTTGTTATTTCATGTTGGCTTTTACTAAACTTTAGTTAACTTAAAAAGACACCACATTGGATTTAAAATATTATTACTTAAAAAACAAAATATAAACTGCTTCAAGGATCCAAACTATAAACATTAAAGATAAAAAACGAAATTGAGATAAAAATAAATTGTATTTAAATAGCTAAATATTGTCTTGAATTTTAGTAAATTTTAGAAGCAGTCAGTTCAATAAATGAAAGTCCTAATGCATAACTTTTAACAATAAAATGCAGCATCATTACATTAGAATAGCACAATAATAATAAAATACCAGGACCTAAATTTAGTTTACTATTTCTTACTGTGTGAATGTTTTAAATTAAAACGACATTGAAGAAAAGACACACTTCATACTAAACTGAAACTTTTTTTTGAAAATAAGAACAAACTTGGGCATTTTTGGAAAAAAATTTGATTTTTGCACATGGAATTACAATCCTATATAGTATAGAAATATAGTATAACATAAATAGTATACTTAAATCGTAATGAAAAAAAAAAATGAAAAAATACCTGCTTTTGTGCCACAAAAGTACTTAACAACTGCATTGATCAATATATGTCAAAAAATAAAATTTAAGTGTGTGCCAGAAGGATTTGAATCTTTGAATCATTCAAATTGTTTTAACATTCATTAACATGAATGTTAAAAATGTTAAAATAGTCATGGCATCTACATGTGAGAACTAAGTCTAAACTTTCACAATATTCTATAACAAATTGATTAAATATCTCATTAAAATTAAAAATAACATAATTGTAATTTTTAGTATTACTCTTGTCATAGTAGTAGTAGTAGTAGTTAGAGTTAACTGCTACTACAACAAATGCATGTAAATAAAGAACTGACTTTAATAACTGCAGCTATTAACTATGTCTTATATCAACAACCCTAGTTGATAAAATAAATAACTGATAACAATAAGAAATAAACAACTACAAAGTTAAAAAATAGCAAATCGTCATGCTAATAACAAAATAAAAAACCAAGCAATAGTTGACCTAAATTAGCCAATTATACAACTTTGAACATCTATAAGACATAAAAAAAAAAAAAAAGAAAATAATGAACTTAACTAAAACATAAAGTACATATACAAACCGACAATAAAAAACAAAGAAAACTTTTTTATGCATATAGGTTGAATTTAAATATTCATAAAAGTCATAAAAGCAAAAAGACACCAGAAATAACAAGATACATTCCCCTTAATGATGTAAGAGGAATTATAAATCCATATTCAGAAAAACTTGAATGACAATCAATTATTATTTTTTTGTCTGCACTTACAAAAATGATTGCAATCAATAGTAAAGGCACACCTTTTATGACCATCTAAAACAGTAACAAATGGAAGCATCTCTAATTTACCATTCTCAATACATTTGAGGTAATGTTTCCTCATATCATTATGCTTCCATATGATTAAACTTGGGTCGATACCATTACACAAAGCTGTTGCATTTGCTATCGCAAAAAGCCCACAATCATTTCCATTTTGTTGCATTTGACAATCCATTACTTCAACAATTAAAGAACTGCTTGTATGACAATTCAAGGAGGAACGTGCAACTGTATGCACTAACAATGGTACATCACATTCATTTGAACTATTAAAGAGTGAATCATAGAACTGAACACACTTTGAATCTGAAAGATCATCAGAAGATACATTACTTAAAAGCACCCAATATTAATTATTTGTATAAAACTGCAACTTTCTGAATAACCACCTGAATTAAAACAACTTAAAATACATGAACTTTGAAATCGAGATATTTTAGGAAACTGGTATGAAAGCAAACTTTGTGCTATATCAATCAAAGTGTCGTCGAGCCAGCCAGATGGGTTTTTTAAAATATCTAAGGCCTTGTTTTTACACTGTGTTGACAATTCAAAATAAAAATTACTTTTATCAATGCCCGCACATTTATTATTTTTTAGACAGTTGAAAGCATTGCGCATCTCACTTAAGTTTAAATTAGATTCTATCATAGATGTGTTGGGTGTATTTATATAAGATTCGAAGTTGTTTGAGTTGGTTTTTGGAATTTTATCAGCTAATTTTGGTCCAATATCAAGAAAAAATTTGTTGAGCTTGTTAATTATGACTTCTTTATTATAAATTATATCCTCGTCAACTAAAAGTTTTTCTGGCAATTTATTATTTTGGTTTACATAGTTTCAAGTAAAAAACTAGTTAAATCTATCAAACCTTCTAATGAATTAATATGGCATCTGTTATTATCAAAGTAAAAGTTTATATTCTTTTTTTTACCATTAATCGCTCCCATATTTTTATCAACCACATTTGTTTAATTTTCAAAAAATTTTGAAAGCGAGTATCTTTAGCATTTCAAATGACAGCTCACAAAGGATGATGTAATCTTTCACAGTTGAAAATGTTCGCTCATTTATAATTTTCCATGCATATGCATATGCAGAAAAGCAACAGTAACTTTTAACTTCATCTTGATTTATTAATGACTTTGTTTTCAAAGCTACAAAGATTTCACTGCAAAAAACACACATATCTATCATGATATGTAACAGTTGCTTTAAAAAACACCTCATCAACCAATAAAAAGCATGAACTCTACTTGCCTTCAAAAAACGATGATATATTTTGGAAACTAACAATACAGTATAAAGTTTACTTGCTTTTGAGGTCAACTTTATCAAAGATCATACACTAGGTAGCTGAAAGTCATTTCTCAAACGCTTATATAATGCTCAGTGTTCAGTCATATATTCAAAAGCTTAAGCAATAATATCTGTAGAGTACAAAGGTTCTTGAACAGTAGTAGTGATAAATCAGCCGCCATCTTTCTGATCAATTGCGAGGCTTGGAGTTAAAATAGTCTTGGTGAAATTATACAAATTATCTGCAATCTTTATTTTTTTTTAATATTATTTATTATCAACTTTTAAATTGCGTTTCAATTAATGACTTATTTTAATTGTACTACAGTTTATTTTGTCTATATTTAGAATTTGCAATTTATTGGTTTCAATTAGCTAGTTACCAACTTTTGTTGGAGAGAGAACTCATAATTTTAAACCATATAATAGATCCGTCTTTGTGAAACTATTGACTTTCTCTACCGTGACTTAGCCTAACTCATGACTTCTCATTGAGATTAACTTGTACATTTTTACGAATTATTGCAACAAAAGCAACAATTATCTCTTTGAGACCATCCCCAAAACCAATTGTAGGGTGTGAGCAAAATGACTTAGTCTTGTAACCTCTCTTCTTGGGTTAAGCTGATATTTTGTATTATTTCGTCCGGTGCAATAATGTCTATTCACAAGTCTTCATTTTATATGTCCTCGTGAAGTTCGTCTGCAGATGTATCACTGCCATCTTCGGGGTCTTCTGGAAAATTTTAATAAACGCTTTGCGCATGTTTGAGGCATTGTTCGTCACAACATACACAACTTTGTCAAGAAAATTAAATGTTTTACAAATGAATTCAAAATGTTCTGCTAAGCTATCTCCAGTATGAGCACCTAAGAGCCCATGCATGCCAACGGTAGTGTGTGACAGTGATAGTTATGAGTGTAATGCACTGTTAAACCAAGATAACTCCTCACTTTTCTATCTGACCTAATATCAAGTGTGAGGAAAATGCTTGCAGCTTGACATAAGTTTTCAGTTAATTTTAATAATTTAAATAAGTTTTCAGTTAATTAACCCCGTTTACGTTTTTTCTAAATAGGTTTTTACTGCAAAATTGCTAATAGTTGAGCACTGAGGATCAAGAACGTTATTGTATCGCCTAAAATGTTCACTTTCTACTATAGAAACAGGCAGTGATGCACCAAATACTAGATGTTTCACAACGGCTGCCAAAATTCTTCATTGCTTGGGGTGGGTGCAACCGTATGTTGTCATAGAACTTTCTCCCAAAGCAACTATAAATAATAAATGCAACGTCATTCTCATTTTTTATTCTATAAAGTAATAATCCTTAACACCATGCTTTATAAGCTAAGTTTAAAGCTTTATTTAAAAGCATAGGGTTAAGTGGTCAGATGTAGTGCGATACTGCAACGTATTGCCGTATAAGCTCATAAGAACTATAAGAATTGTTATGGAATGTCAGACCTCAAGTAGACTACTTATCTATTAGAGGTAGACATAGAACGGACTCTAGGGTTTAATATATATTAAATATCTAATAAAGAAAAACAAATTAGTAAAGTAAATAATCTGCTCGAAAGTCTGAAATTTTAGATTGGTCTGGTGTAGCAGCCGTTGGTCTTGTCTGAATAAACTTTTGATATAATGCATATTTTCCTAGATGTGTTTTTAAATGGCGAATGAAGTTGCTTGTAGTCGCAACTCCATGGGTAATTAAAGCTTGACAAAATTTACAACATGTCGATCTAGTTTTTTTCTATTTTTTCTCTAACTCAGTATAACCAAAATTAACTATTCTAGGCACTGAAGGGGTTTTTTGAATTTTTATAGCACTCATAGCTTTAAGATAACTTATGAAACAAACCGCAGATTTTAGTAGCAAACACAATTTTAAATACTTAAAATGAGGAACAGCAGTGCAATAACTTTTGGAATGGCGGACGCTTTTTTATAATGAGTTTTATAAATAAATTGCATGAAAAAATAATAATAACAAAATATAATTTTGAAAGTAAAAATAATTAAAAGAAAAAAATAGATTGTTAAGAAAAGAAAAAGAAAGAATTAAAAAAGAATTTAAGTAAGAAATTAAAATCGCCGAACATTTATAAACAACGAGTTTCATGAGTAGAAAAAATGAACCAATCAGAACGCACACAAAAAAGTCAGAATTTTTTGAAAACGAAAGAGCCTAAATGTAATATTTTTCTTTAGATCTTGCTTAGACTACAAACCAGTTAAACATAAGTTAAAAGAAAAACACATTCGAAAATAAAATATAGTTAAAAAGCAGTTGAATTAAAATAGAATATAAATCGCTCCATTTTTGAAGAGACAAAAAATTTGAATTAAAATTTGAGAACCTTTTTTTTTTTTAAAGTTTTTTACGGCAAATGTTTTTTCACAAAAGTTTGCCGAATTGTATTTAAATTTCTTCAGGACAAGGAGGAGGGACCATCGCCCAAATTTTTTTTCTAGAACAGACCCTGACAGAGTAGAGAAAAATAAATTAAAATTATTTTAAGGTTGCTGATCAACTCTGATCGTAAGAAACTAAAATACTGAAAAGTAAAAGATCAATTTTAATTTTTGTAACTTTTAACTAAATTTTTTAATAGTAACACTTTTTGCATTACACTTTTTGAGTTTACACAATGCTTTATAGGATCATATTGTTATAAAACCCAATAATCCATAAAAAAGGCCTATTTAAAAAAAATTAATGTTTAAAAGTAATCATTTAATA